GAGTCAATGCGTTTTGGAGTTAAGAGTGGAGGTAGGAGAAAGGAGCATTTACCCAGGAGGAAGGCAGCAGGAGTCAATGCGTTTTGGAGTTAAGAGTGGAGGTAGGAGAAAGGAGCATTTACCCAGGAGGAAGGCAGCAGGAGTCAATGCGTTTTGGAGTTAAGAGTGGAGGTAGGAGAAAGGAGCATTTACCTGTGAAAGTAGAGGGTATGGTCTGTTATCATTAACACATTCTTGAGGTAGCATGTCATCTAAAGCAAGCCAGAGGCTATACAATTTTCTTTCCTTCCACCATGGGTGGAAGGAAAGAAAAATCACTTGATTCCCCCATCAACACTGGCTGAATTCCTCCCACAGCATTAATGTGTTCTGGCAGCTGGGGGCCGCACCACTGCTTGTGGATATAGTTGCCGACAGTGCCCACATGCAAGAAAATCCAACAGTCTGGTTATACTGAAGTCAAACAATGGATCGACCTCAGTACAACCATCCATAGATGAATTTCGGCCGATTCCTGCTCTATGGCCTGCTTTAGTTTAGCCCTTTGCAGATGAGAAAATGTAAGATAATATTTGGTTATTTGCTATGGATAATATAAACACATGCTTTTAGCTGCTTATGATATTCATTATAGAAATTGCTGCTTCTCTGCAAAAAAAAAGAAGAAAAAAAAGACAAATAAAATCACCAATTATTTTTTCCTACAGTCTCAGATAAACAGTGTAATGAGGGTACAGGCAGTATGGAAAGACAAGCCAGTTTTTATGCAATTAATGATTAATAACACTAAGTATACATAGCAAAAGCACATAACAAAAACCCAGTTTACTTATTTTATATATAATCTCTTATTTGGAATTGTCAAAATCTCTATTTTTCAAGATAACAGGTCCTACATCTACACCAAACATTCAGAATAGATGTTTAAATCGATGCATTTCCTAACTTTCCTGGTTTGCAGCTACGAACTCTCAAAACATTCTTTCATTCTTCATTAGCCTTTAACAATCTTGTTGCCCCAGAGGAACTCTTGAAGTAATTATCAGGTCTCGGGGAAAAATCTGCTAAAATCAATTCAATGGGTAGAATACCCCTTGCATTGGTGGGCAATAGGTAGAAAGCCTCCTTTAGAGTGTGGTGGTAAGAAAGCCAAACACAGCCACAGCTAAAAAGATGTATGGTGTTATGCCGCTGGTTTTGGTGGATAATGTTGAGCCTGGAACTATGCAGCCACCAATAGGGAGGCTAATCAAGAGGAACCTAAGGGACCCACAGAACCATGATTGAGAATGGCTGCTCTACATAGGCAGGAATTTGTTGGAGTGATGCTCAGCTGGAGGCCCAGAAGTACATTTTCACGCATTTTGGAGAGTTTTTTTTATATGTGTTTGTACACAGATTGAGCATTTTCAGTCTTGAGCATTTTTCTTTTAGCTACTGGAAAGCTTGTTTCTAGGTGAAGGAGAAATTCAAAATTTCCTGAAAAATGTACATGATATGCATTTGTCAGCCCTCTTAAGGTGCTCCCATTGAAGTCTGAAGGGACCAAAAACTGAAATCTGCCCCAAAAAAGTCCATGTACTATTTATATCTTCAAACTCTATCTTCAAGCTACAAGATTCATGTAACACAAAGCTAAAGTACGAACAGGCACCATTGAATATAATGGGAATCTTGATGTTCACCATTGAATTGGTTTGGGAAACATGTCTCAAATCTGTCAGGTGTGAACCAGCAGGTTGAAAAAAAAAAAAAAAAGACAGATCCCAGCATCAACTGAATGTTGTGTGATGGGTTCTCTCCCACTGAACTATTGTATTCTGATGGGGTTTAACATTTCATATATGGATATATGGATTCATGTGCATGTGAAGTTAAATGGGCACTAAACTCTAGATAAAACTAAAAAACAAACATATATATATATATATATATATATATATATATATATATATATATTATCCTGACAACGTGAGGAGCTTATTTGCCTTTAGCAAACTAACCCCTAAGTGTGCATCTACCACAGAGGCTTGAGGTGTATTCCATACCCTGGTTGCTGTAATCTCCTAAAAAAGTGGTTGCATTGGCCTTGATACATTTTAAGTGACCTAAGATGGTCAACATTGGCAGGCTACGCATTAAAATGTTTCCATTAAAATGGATATAAACCTCTGAGATAACAAAAATGAACCTTCTACAGTGAGCTCTTGCCTCTAACAAAAGCGACAAACTGACACCAGACAATCCTGGGTGATAACCCCCCAGCACACAGCAAGTGATTGGCAGCCTCAGATGTGCATATTTCCCTATGAGACTGTGTAGAGGGGGGGGGGGTGTCTCTTCCCTCCACTCAGCTCCCTCCTCTATGCTGTGCAATGTGTGATATTACATCTGTGCCCCCTGTCTTCTGAAGCTCAGAAATGCTTTGTAAATTTTGGACTTTGAACTAATGTAGAGGAGAGGGAGAAACAAATAAACAGGTACCACTTTATCTCTGTGTATCAACTGAGGCTAGTCACTTCAGTGGGTATATGTAAGGACTTGTATGTAGGATTTAAGCAAGGTCAATGCTACATCTGTCACAGATATTTGCAAAACTGCCCCAGGATTGTAGGTGCAGAGGTAAAAAAAAACATAAAACCATTAAAAATCCTATACTAAACAAAAGACAGCCTGATTCGCACTAGATATTTGCTTTATTCTGTCAGTAACTTGCCTGCTAAATCTCTCCTGACTGAATAAATATATCTTCTATTTGACATGGAAATTTAATTTACACGGGAACACAGCCTCTGTGTTAAGCGAGGGATGTCTGTATATGAAAACTAGAAGATAGGAATGGCAGAGGTGTTGCCTACAGCAACCAATCAAATACTAATCTGCTGTAGAAAATGGCAGCTGAAACTGCGTTCGCCGCTGTGGGAGACAAACTATTTACTTACTTTCAATTTTTATACATCAGTCCTTGTACTTGCCTTTTTTCCATATCAACTTTTTTTTGTAAAACTAGAAAATAGACTAGTGATTTAGAACGTTGTTACATATTTATGGCAGTTCATTGTGAGAGAAGTGTGAGCGAAGTTCATGTTGACTAAGCAAGGACACGGCAGCTGGGATCACACACTCTATACTTCGCTACCCCCATATTTAATTGCATAATTCAGAAATTCATTATAGTTTATGTATGTTTTTCCATAAAAAAATAATGGGCAAATACATTTGCATATTTGCTGCACCATTCATTTGAGCACCTGTTAATTTTGAGCTGCCATGCCAACCTATAAAAGCGGAAATTAAAGGGATATTACAAAGAAAATGAAAGCTTTATTTTTTTCCTTTACTAATGTAATTCACAGCGCTTATTTTGAAGTGGTTGTAAGACAGTATTATTTGACTTTGTGGAGTTTTATGTTTTATTCATATATTGCATTTGATACATTTAATCTGCTAATAGGGTAGATTGGGGCACCAACACTTCTTGGGTGGCCATATATGACACACATGGGTGCTGAGTGAGGTTGTTGAGCACCTATATCCATATGCAGGGACAAAGGAAGCAGGAATCCATATATTGCATTAGATACCTTCTATCTTTAAACCTCTAAAATGGCATTTTGGGGTACCAACACTTCTTGGATGGACATATATGACACATATGAGTCATGGAGGATGATGTTGAGCACCTACATCCATATGCAGGGACAAAGGAAGACAGAATACATATACTGCCTTTGAAACCTTCTATATTCAAATCGCTAAAAAGGTAGATTGGGGCACCTAACACTTCTAGGATGGCCATATATGAAGGGTCTTCAAATAGTTTCTGCACATTTATACATGTATATATGTTAAAGAAAGTGCGGACACTTTTTGAAGAACCTGAGTGATGGAGGAGGTTGTAGAGCACCTATATCCATATGCAGGGACAAAGGAAGCAGGAATCCATATATTGCATTAGATACCTTCTATCTTTAAACCTCTAAAGTGGCATTTTGGGGTAGCAACACTTCTTGGATGGACATATATGACACATATGAGTCATGGAGGATGATGTAGAGCACCTACATCCATATGCAGGGACAAAGGAAGCCAGCATACATATACTGCATTTGAAACCTTCTATATTCAAACCTCTAATAAGGCAAATTGGGGCACCTAACACTTCTAGGATGGCCATATATGAAGGGTCTTTAAATAGTTTCTGCACATTTTTACATGTATATATGTTAAAGAAAGTGCGGACACTTTTTGAAGAACCTGAGTGATGGAGGAGGTTGTAGAGCACCTATATTCATATGCAGGGACAAAAAAAAGCTAAAATTCTTATGCTGTACTTTCAGCACTGTCGCACTTTGAATGACAGTTGTGCGGTCATGCAACACTGTACATTTTTTTGAGACCAATAGAGCTTTCTTTTGGTGGTACTTGATAACCACTGAGGTTTTTATATTTTTGCTAAACAAACTAAAAAAGACAACATTTTGAAAAAAAAGTTTTCTGTTATATCATTTTGTAAAAAAGTAAGTTTTCTCCTTCACTGATGTGTGCTGATGAGGCTGCACTGCTAGGCGGCACTGATGGGCACTACTGAGTGGGAATGATGGGTACTAACAGGCATCATTGATGGGCACTGATAGGCAGCCCTGACGGGCACTGATATGTGGCACTGATAGGGGGCACAGATCAGCACTGATAGGAGGCACTGTCTGGCACTCATAGGTGGCACTGACTGGCACTCATAGGTGGCACTGACTGGCACTCATAGGTGGCACTGACTGGCACTGATAGGTGGCACTGATTGACACTGATAGGTGGCACTGATAGGCAGAACTGACTGGCACTGATCAGGGACACTTACTGGCACAGATAGGTGGCACTGATAGGTGGCACTGATGGGTACTGACAGACTGCACTGATGAGGAGGCACTGATAGGCGACACTGATGGGCATTGACAAGCATCACTGATGGGCACTGAAAGGCAGCACTGATATGTGGCACTGATAGGCAGCACTGATAGGCAGCACTGATGGGCACTGATAGGCAGCACTGATAGGCAGCACTGATGGGCACTGATAGGCAGCACTGACTGGATCTGATAGGTAGCACTGATTGGCACTGATAGGTGGCACTGATGGGTACTGATAGACTTCACTGATGAGGAGGCACTGATAGGCAGCACTGATGGGACACTGATGATGTGACATTGATGTGCACTGATCAGCGGCAGTGATGGGCACTGAAAGGCAGTACTGATGGGGCTGCACTGATAATCAGAGCACTGATGATCAGTGACCTGATTATCAGTGTAGATGTCTTTAACACAACATCAATAAATTTATTTGGACTCTTTTATCTATTGGTCTGGCACTCCTTCCATATATTGTATGCACATCTTCTTCTGGTAACCTGCTGAAGTACCCACTGGAGGGTAGCCTTGTCTGCTGTGAGCAGCCTAACATGAGTCAGAGGGCTCTTCAAATGTTTCTGACCTATCACTACCTTGTTTAAACTCATATCAAAGTCCCAGCACCTCTTGGATGTCCTTTTTGTCTAGGTTCAAAAAGCCAGCTGCTGATGAAGTACCAGGCCAGCCCTTTGTCCCACCTTCCTGCTGCACTGTGTGCATGAACCTGCAGCCTCCTAGGAGATGTGACAGGAGTATCCCAGGACACCCAGAAAAAAAAATGCATCCATTGGAAAGAGTGCCAAACTAAAGGATAAAAGAGCCCAATTACATTTATTGGTTACACTAAAAAAACACCAATGTGTTCAGAAGGTCAGAAAACACTCCCAAATTTTCAGGGCTTCCATTGAAAAAGGACCTTGAATGAACTCGAAATAGGGAATCCATGTAGGTAAGCTAACTGCTGGATCAAGAGAGACACTGGCGAGCAGTATCTGTGTGAGCAATCAAGATAACCCATTAGTATTACAAGAGCTAGGCACACATACCTTTCTGATCAGCTGAAAAAGAGCTGATAGATGTGTTAACTCCAAAAGTGTAAGATGTCAGCCGCTTCTGTATTGGAATTTTACCCAGCTTTTGGATTGCTTGCTGTTTTTTGGACTTACCACTACCTGTTTTGAATAGATTCAGTGGCTTACAATCCTGATGAACTTATTTGGTCTTGTTAAAGTGGTTGTAAAGGCTGAAGGTTTTTAGAAGATGTATATAAAATGCATTAGGTGAAAAAATGTATGTGGACAGCTCCCCCTAAGCCCCCTTAATACTTACCTGAGCCCGATCATGATCAGTGATGTGCATGAGAGCAGTGGCTTTCCCGGGTCTCTCCCTCCTCATTGGCTGAGACACAGCAGTGTTAGCCATAGGCTCATGCTGCTGTCAGACAAAGCCAATGAAAAGTGAGTGGGGGTGGGGCAGAGCCATGCTTTGTGAGTCTCATAGACACACAGAGGCAGCTTGGAAGTGAGCATGCACAAAAGCCCCAGATCAAGGGCACTCAGTTGGGAGTAGGAGCCTGGAGCTCTGGTGGTGGACTCGAGACAAGGAGGATCAGGGCTGCTCTGTGCAAAACCATTATACAGAGCAAGTAAGTATACCATGCTTGTTTTTATTATTATTTTTTTTTTAAATCGGAACCTCTTGTATCACTTTAAGATTTGTTGACCAGTTGCTTAATAAAGGTTGGGAGTGCCACATTTTTTATTTTTTATTTATATATGTACCCCAAGAGGCTGCAGGACCAAGTGTATGTCATTCTGGTCTACGCCAGGTTGGCCAAGTGTGGCAGTGCTAGAGAAAAATTAAACAAACTAAAAAAAAAAAAAGACTTTGTAATTGCGAAAGGGCTTAATTAAAACATACTCACTCTTGGGAGTTAAGTTCCATTTTAAATTAAATCTTCATTTTTGATTGGGGGGGGTAAAATTATTATCAGTTTTCTTCACTAATGATGTACCATTATTTTTGCCATCTGTACTCCATTAGAGATATTCCATGAAATTTCCAGCAGCTGGAAGGTATTAACACTGACAGGTAGGCCCCCGCTTTGTCTAAAAAATGGCCCACGAATCTCAATACAAAGCCTGCCCTGTTTTGTTATTAAACATCCTTCTTCTGTTTAGAATACTGATACCTTTAATGAGGAATGCACATGAATTAGGACATCTGAGCTGGGACATCTGGTCGCTGTATGAGTAATTCCATCATTTGTTTTTTTTTAGCATGACTCGGTGTAAATTAACAACATTAATTTTTTGCAAATTGGCAAGCTCCCTATTTGCAGTAAACTTTAAATTGTGTCAGTAGAGGCTTCCAGATTAACAGACCCCCTCCCTACGTCTGTGTAATGAAAACAGCAAACAGTTATTTATCAACATTTGCAGAGTTTTCAGAGTAGAACGAGACAGACCTACCACCATCAGCCATGTGCTCTCTATGTTTAGAGATGAGCGAAGATGAGGAATCTGAAATCTTGACATCATTTTTTTGAAGGAACTATCATTTCCTTGTCTTCATTTTCCTCAGTTTAAGCCATTATCTCTATCCCATACTCAGGTCTGAATAATTTGCAGCCAATTAAATCACTGGAACGTTTCTACAAAGTATAAATAGTTCCCCGAGTTTTGTTTATTGCCTCATTTGAAAGGAAGGATGTGTCTGGATCAAAACGATGAAATACTTTAAGTTTGAGCTGTCTTGGCAGACAGCCTATATTGCCATAGAGAACAGCCCCCTTTATCATTAGCTAGCATTGGAATGCACTTGCTGAGACTAATTTTGTATATGATTTTTTTTTTACCTTCGTCTGTTTTCAATCATTTGCTTTTATCTGTTTGTATCAAAATTTTATGTGCAACTTTTTATGCTATTATTTTTAATAGAAGGCGGATTCAGATTTCAGTCTGCATTCTATTCCATTATTTACCGTTTTATTTTCATTATTTATTTATTGTTTCAATTATTTTGTAGTTGTGTGTAATAGCAAGCAAACAAGCAAATGAAAAAAAAATTGATAAAATGCATAATAAAATGATATGCTGCTTTGGAGGACTACACTAATATTTATTTATGTATTGTTTCAATTATTTTGGAGTTGTGTAGTTGTGTGTAATAGCAAGCAAACAAGCAACTGAAAAAAAAAAAGATAAAATGCATAAAAAAATGATATGCTGCTTTGGAGGACTACACTAATGTGAACCTGTTTTGTTTTTTTTTTGCTCGACATGTGCAAATCGTGTATCCGCTTTAAAGCCCAAGTCCAGGAATTTGAAAAAAAAAAAACCAAAACAAAAAAACAAACACTGCATGTTAAAATGGTATTGAAGTCAGTTTTTTTCCTAAATCAGATAAAAATGACATAACTTTCTTTTTGATTTGTCCCCTTACCGAACTACTATAGTCCCCCTCTTGCTATTCCCCCTGTGCCTATGGAATCCTGTGTAAGCCTCTGCAATGAGGCCAGAACTATTTAAAAAGGAGGCTCCAGAGATAAAAATCAAATAAATAAATAATGTTATTTTTATCTAATTTACCCAAAAAAGTACTTTAAGACTAAATTAAAGTGGTTGTAAACCTCAGACATGAACTATGAACAAATATCCCTGTACAGTGTGTACTTGTCTCAATTAAAAGCACTAAATGTAATTTCTCACTGCTGCTTTGTTCCTCTGCTATCTGCTGTCAGAGTCATTTCTGACAAGTTTTCCTGCCACCAAGAGAAAAAAGGCAACAAGGGAGGGACCTCCAACTGATTGACAGCCTCAGGTCTGTTCCTGTGAGCTGTGTTCAGGGGAGTGTTTTTCTTCCCTCCAATCAGCTCTCAGAGTTATCTTCACTGAGCTCATCAGAGTTTAGCTTCAGCTCTTCTTCCCTTTTTTTTCTCAACTCTGCCTGTTAGATTGTAAGCTCCTAGGAGCAGAGCCCTCCTAACTTTCTTGTATTGAATTGTATTGTTGCTGTATTTTCTCCTTTTATATTGTAAAGTGCTGAGCAGGGGCGGACTGAAAACTCATGGGGCCCCCGGGCAATAGGGGATCATGGGGCCCCTGTGTCCTTGCCCAAACTCAAAAAAGCCTATGAAAAAGGTACCAGGGGCATCTCATGGGCCCCCTACTGACTCCAGGCCCTCGGGCAGTGCCCAAGTTTCCAAAGGGTCAGTCCGCCCCTGGTGCTGAGCAAACAGTTGGTGCTATATAAATCCTGCATAGTAATAATAATAATAATAGCTCTCAGACAAGCTTTAAACATTCAAAACTTTGAAGTTTGTAGAGAAGAGAAGGCTGCAGATAAACAGGAAAAAGTTAGGAGGAAGATCAATTTTATCTCAGTGTATCACCTGAGGCCAGTCACTTCATAAGGTACATGTAAGGGGTTTAAAAACAACTTTAACTCTAGAGTATGAGGAATACAATGCACATGCCTTATTACTCACTCTGGAAGGATGATGCATTTTTGGTGCTTTTTTTATGTGTTTTTGGTGTGTTCCCTTGGTGTGTTACAATGGAAGGTGCATTTTTTGTGTGCTTTTGAAAAGCACACCAAAGTAGCTGCATTTAGGACTTTTTAAAACACAGTACACCAATGTGAACAGCTAAATAGAATTTAAAGGAGAATACTTTTATTGTGCTTTTGTTGCATTGGAAAGGTGCATTTGCCCCTTAGAATGGGTAATGGGTTTGAAGGAGACGGCAAAACCCTCGTTCAGCTGCCTGTTTTTACTGCTTGCTTGGCTGCCAATGTGAAATAGCCCTTAGTGCCATCTGCAGCTAAGGACTGAAGCTTTTCTAGTTGGTGATCACTCCAGAGATGATAAATAAAGTTCTTTGCTGGATTTGGCATACATGCAAAATATTATTATTATGTAGCACTATCCTGGTTAGTATTAACTGATTCTTCCCCAACAAGTACAGAGGCTGTCGGTCTCCACAAGCATGAGTCCATTCACACCAGCTTCAATAAGTTAATCTAGGGGATGTCTTTTTGTATTTTATTGCTTGTAGAACTTCAACAGGAATGGGGAGCTTGGGCATGGGATACTCCAAAATGCTTTGAACTTAATAGTTAGAGGACAATCTTCCTTTAGAATTAAGTGTGGACAGTCTAAGGCTTCACAATGAAGACCATGGGGCAAATTTTTTTTACATCTGGCTACCTTGTGCTATGGCATGGCCAGGGGCGGACTGACCATTTGGAAACACGGGCACTGCCTGAGGGCCCGGGGTCAGTAGGGGGCCCCATGAGATGCCCCTGGTACCTTTTTCATAGGCTTTTTTGAGTTTGGGCAAGGACACAGGGGCCCTTTGATCCCCTATTGCCCGGGGGCCCCATGAGTTGTCAGTCCACCCCTGGGCATAGCATAACTGTATTCAGTGCAGCCTCCAGAACCCTAGTCAGTCTCAGGGATCCGTTCAAGGTCACTACTCACAGGTTCCCAGGACAGCTGCAACTTCCAGCTTCTTCCATGCATGGTCCAGTGAGTGAGAGGGAACCTCTCAGGACCAGATCCCTTGTCGTGTGGTTCTGCAATCAGCTCCAAGTAAAGTTCATCTAGGCCCTCAGTTCTGCCTTCAAAAGCAGCTATTCAGTCCATGGGCAGCCTGAGGGCAACAGCCCTCAACCCTCCTGAAGAGATGTAAATCAGCTCTCCAGTGTTTTCAGACTATTTATCACCTTTCCAGCCCCCTAGCGAACACTGCTTTCCAGGGATTGGCTGGAACCTAACAAATATTAAGGCTGGTTATTTTCATCTCCCTCCATAAGCTCTGGAAGCTTCTTTCAGATGCGTGGGGAAACAATTAAACTTTCAGCCTGTGAAGCACTGAACAGTCCAGAAGAAACGATTACTGCTCCCTTGAATACAGAAGGAGCCAATAACTAAACGTATCTAACATCCTAATGGGTGCTACAAATTTTCAGTAATTGTTAAAAAAGAAGAAATCAATTTTCTTTTAAATTTCCCTAACATACAATGGGTCCTTTAAAGTAAAAACAGCTTCACTTTCTTTACTAAGCCAAGCAAACATTAGTGAACGCTCCTAAAGTGAATCATCCTGCAAGAAAACCCGAAATTGGAAAGTACATACGCTTGTTAATAAACAAGAAAGTCAACTAATTTTCTTTATACTTTCATTATTTAACGCACTGATATTAACATCGTCCCTGTTTATTTGATTTTGCTTGTTTTTAATTTAATTTTACGTTCCATGTTTTATACTGCTATCTGTCTTGTTCTCATCTTTATGTTTACTGCCGCACCTGTATATAAAACTTCTTGTATAAATTCTGGAGCTGAGCACTAGGAGGGTAACAAAGCTATGCAAATTCATCATACATGCATAAAATTCCTCACACAGCATAAAGGAGGAAACTATAAAAGATTTTCTTTTTTGGAAAGAAGGATGCTGAAGTTGTCTTCGGGGATGTCAATTAATCTGCAGAAATTTTATTAGCTGACAGAAATATAGCCATTAAACATATGGTGCAAAACGGGTAAGGTCTATTTTATGCAGTGGAGAGCAAGCTTAAACAACTTAAGACCTCCATCTTCTGTAGTGCTACAAGTCCCAGCATGCCACCCAACGTAGTTGGGATTTTAGCCAGGGTAGGGTAAAAATGGCAGTAGGCCAAGGCCGGAAGTCCAAAGGAAGCCAAGTTCACATGCTTTTTTTTCTTTTTGGATTTAGATTGAAAGAATAAAGTAACTTTATTTATGTTCTCTTTCTTCATGAAGGATGTGCATTGAGAAAAGGATGTAGGCTGCCATTAAAGTATAATTATAGGCTAAAGCTAACTAGTCTTAAAAATGTTCACTCCCCCCTCCCCAACACCTATGCTGACTAACCTATATAAGAAAGATGTATATACTTACCTATTTTCAGCCCACTCTAGTTTGGTCACATGATCACCTGTGTCAGTCAGCAGCAGCTGCAGGGGAGAGGAGAGTGCTCAGCAATGGCTGGGAATTCCTGGGAATGGTGATGTCAGCCATAGGCTCCCATGGCCCATCCGCTGTCAACACTCATTCCTTTCCCATACAGGTGCCCCTGGCTGGCACAGGGGAGTCAGATCAAGTGACTGGACCAGAGTAGCCTGAAAGTAGGTAAGTAAATAAATCTCTCTTATCCAGGTTAGTCATCATAGATGTTGGGGGAGGGGGGTATTTTTACAACTAGTTAGGTGTAACCTGGAATGCTACTTTAATGATTTCTTATAGGGTGTGCACTGAGGAGCGCTCTGACAATGGCTGGGAATTCTGGGAACGGTGATGTCCCCCATAGGCTCCCAAGGCCTAAACAGTGTGAGCCAGGGACAGCTGCAGGGGAGAGGAGAGAGAGCACTCTGACGGTGGCTGGGAACTCTGGGAGCGGTGCCCCATAGGTTCTCACAGCTCATACAATGTAAGCCTGGGGTAGCTGTAGGGGAGAGGTGAGAGCACTCTGACAATGGCTGTGAACTCTGGGAGTGGTGATGTCACCCATAGGCTCCCATGGCCCATTCAGTGTGAGCCAGCGGCAGCTGCAGAGGAGAGGTAGAGCAATCTGACAATGCCTGGGAAGCGATGATGTCACCTATAGGCTTCCATGGACTATACCATGTTGGTGCTCCCTACTCTCCCCTGCAGCCACTGCTGGCTGACACCATATGGGCCATGGGTGACATCACTGCTTCCAGAGTTCCTAGCCACCACTGGCTGACACAGGAAATCACATGACTGAACCATAGCAAACTGAAAATAGGTAAGTATATACATCTTTTTTTACACAGATTAGTTAGCATAGATGTTAGGTGGGGTGAGGGACCATTTTTAAGACTAGTTAGGTTAGCCTGGAATTCTACTTTAGTGAAACTTTTCTGAAAATGATAGTTATCTGCATGTCTCTGGCTGTAATGGCGGCCATACACACTTCAATAAAAGATCCATTTATTTTCCTATCCATCTCTTCTGATAAGAATAATCGATCGATATGTTCCACACTGGGAAATGGATTTCAATTGATGGTTAAGATATGATTGTAATTTATGGTAGAAAACTATTGATTGCAACTCTGATCCGATCGATTGAATTTCGATCATATTCTTGGAAAAAGTATCTCAGTGATGCTGAACCTTGCAACATTGATCATGTACCCTGCCCTTGTCAAGTCACACAGTTTGATTGAATGTGATCTAAATCAATCAAAAGATACATTATGGCTATTCAATTGTTTGAGGATTCATTCATTTTGATTGTATAGCATATCGATTGGATAAGAAAATTGAAGCGTGTGTGGCCAGCATTAAGTTTTTAGAGTCTCTGATCAGGGACTAGCATGCAGAAAGTGAAGTATAAAATATATCCCCTTTGCATCCGCATGATACCCATTCAACCATTTCTGAAGGAGAGATCAGCAATGGCAGTTTTACTAAGTAAATAATCTTAGCAGGATGTTGGATCATTAATTTTCAGTGCCACTCTTTGGGTATTTTTCTTAGCACTAGACATGTGAGTTTCGTTACAATTTGTTTTTCAGACAAAAAACTTACTTTTCAGAGATTCGGAAGTATACGAATCTCCAAATGGACATAATAATGAATGTAAATGAATCTGTAAAAAAATTATAACAAAATTAACAAATTAATTTTCTTTGTTTCTTTTGGATGATGTCACATGATGCGATAGGTCGGGCTCATGGGGAAATGAAATAAATGTTCAAATTTAACCAAAAATATTCCTGCGCCAATCAAAAACAATAAATCACCCTTCTAAATTGCTGCTGTGCAAAAAATGTGTGAAAACACAAACAGTAAATTATATAAATAAACAGCGCAACATAGACCTCAATCCAAACCCCAATAAATCACACAATATGAGTGTCCATTATTAAATCATGCGTGTATATATCAAAAAATCTTCAGAAAAAACAGACAATAAAAGTCCCTTGTGAAGATAGCTGAAGATTCCAAAAGATGTGTATAGCCTTCCACCTTTCACCAGTGTACACCAACATCAAATACACTCACCAGATTTTGGTGAGTGAGAAGCCTTTAAGGATTTTAAGGGAATCCTAAACCCCCTTTTCATCAGCTCACTGATAGCCTCCCCTCCAAGTTTAGATCTTCTTTCAGGTCCTCACCGTATCCTCCTAGTTGGCTCCACCATACCACCAAAGAGAAAGCTTATATAGTGTAATATTGCCACAATAATATTATACCAAAAAACAAATCCTGGCCACTCACATTTCAATAGCTTATAACAGGTACGTTTATTAAGCCCATGATAGCCTTAAGGTCTATGTTGCGCTGTTTATTTATATAAATTAAATGTTCAAATTTGCTTAATAATTCAAATTCAGATAACAAATATATCCAAATTTTGTTCCATTCATTAATTCGGATGCACATGACGCCAGTCAATATTGTCCAATCAACTCTCTTGATGGGTAGGACTAGCGTTCAAATCTATTGAATCCCTCCATTTCGAATCTGTCTGATTTGATAATATATAGAATATATCGCAATCACCCAGAAAAACTGCAACATTTTTCGAATCCACCCGGAGCAACGAATATACGAAATGAATGCCAAACATATGAAACTAATCCTGAAAATGAATCAGTTCAACATAATGAATATGAAAAAATTAAATTCTTCAATGAACAAATGCATTCGAAATTAAACAAATATTTCTAGCTTGCACAATCTACTTAGTTTGGTTCAGTATCAGTTTTTGAGCAGATATATTAAATAACGAGGATTAAAGTGGAACCACATTGCATCTGAGCACCACAAGCCAAAAATGTTATTTAATTCATTGTTAATATTCAAAGCAAGCTTCCCCATCCATCTATGTTTCCATGGTTTAATTTGATGAGAATTAATTTTGAAAACAGTCCTTAGTATTTATGGCAGTAGCCATATTGAGTAAGGGCAGATCATTCATGTAGCATTTACTTCCCGGAACCCATGTGCCCTTAGCTACTGAAGGCTTCTGGGATGTATGACATCATTTGCCTAGGCATGGAAACCAGGAAGTAATTGAAGAAATAAAAATTTTTTTTTAAACAAATACATATGATATATTTTTCTATCTATTTACTAGTGCTAGCAGCATGAGGATTAAAAATAGTCAATTGTTGATTGAGAGAGTGACATTCTACTCTAAGCAATTCCACTTCAAGTGAAAAGGCTGCTGTGCCTACTCCAAAACGAGCTGTAGCAAATCCATAGGTGTGATTCTAGCACAAACGCCCTACCATAATTGTTATTAGAACCTAGCTATTGCTACCATATTGTTATTTTGGAACCTAGCTATGCTAAATATCATGCTTTGTTTGTATCTACCCAATATAGTTTTTGCATCTG